GAGGAATGATTGGTTCTTTGCTTTATCTTACTGCCAGTCGCCCTGATATTCAACATAGTGTATGTTTATGTGCTCGTTTTCAATTAGCCCCCAAAGAGAGTCACATGTCTGCAGTCAAACGCATATTTACATACCTGAAAGGTACCATGGACATTGGACTATGGTATCCTAAACATGATCTGTTTGATCTTGTTGGGTACAGTGACTCAGACTTTGCTGGGAGTCTGACTAATAGGAGAAGTACCTCTGGTAGTTGTCAGTTTGTAGGAACTTCTCTAGTTTCCTGGTCCTGTAAAAAACAAGGGGCAGTTGCCCTTTCCACGGCTGAAGCAGAGTACATTGCTGCAGGAAGCACTTGTACTCAACTTCTATGGTTAAAAAGCCAACTACAGGACTATGGTATCACTATGATTATTATTCCCTTACTGTGTGACAACACAAGTGCTATCTGCATGTTTAAAAATCCTGTGCAACACTCACGTACTAAACATATTGAAATTAAATACCATTTTATACGTGACCTTGTTAGTACTGGAATCATAAATCTCCAATACATTAATACTGAATTTCAACTAGCAGATCTCTTTACCAAACCTTTATCCACTGATCGATTTAATTTCCTTTGCTATGAGATCGGTCTGCGATCTCTTTCCTCCATTACTGTTGCAAATGAAGTCTAGCTCTTGCTGGGTTTCCTTGTCTGTTGTATTTTGATTATTCCTCAGTTCTTTGATTTTTATCCTTGGTATCTTTTCTTTCCTTCTCTTGTTTTGGTTGATTGAGTGTTTTTCCTTTTTTGGTTTGGTTCGAGTCTTTATATTGCTCAGTTTCTGTAGTTTTTTTTTTCTGTGTATCCTGTGAGTCGTGTCTTCCTTTTGTGTCAGCCATGGTTTATGATTTTGCCCTGACCTACTCTGGGGCACATTTCCATGAGCCTGTTGTTGCAAATTATCATCGTCACACTCAGTCTTTTGCAAATCGTCCCATAAATTCCTCGACCATTGTTCACCTCCCTGATTTTGTGCCTCTAGGTTTAGATGTGATGCCTTTTGTCTATAATCTGGGCTGGGAATTTCTCCTGATGCCTGATTTCACCTCCTCTCTCATCTGCCCTGAGGCTGTTAGCGTTTTCTTCTCAAATCTGAGGTACTTTGGTCTCCAAACTCGCACTATCAGCTCCCTTGTTCATGGTCATATGATGACCTTTCCACTATCTGACATCAGCCGTCTCCTCAATATTCCTGCTTTTGGGGAAGCCCTAGCTCATCCTGATGAACTTCCTCTATTCAACTTTGATATCACTACTGAGGCTGTTCATCTTACTGGTCATGAACCAGATCAAGATCGTACCTTCTCCTCTGGTCTTTTGAGCCCCTCGCTGCAAGCTTTTCACTACATTCTGACCAGAGTGTTCCTGCCTCGTTCCATATTTCTTGATCGTGTTATTCCTCTTGACCTATGGATTCTAGCTCATGCTGTGGATGCTGTACCTTTGGACTTCTCTCATCTGCTGTTTGGAGCCATTCTTCCTTTCATTGATCATAACTTCCATGCACCTCTTCCTTTTGCGACTTTGATTACTCGACTGCTGCTCGCCCTGCCTCTAAATCTCTCAGCTTATCGCACTGAATCTCCTTCCCTTTGGCTTCATGAGAATGATGTTTTAGAAGAGATTGGGATTGCGATTGAGGGGGAGGGACCCTTCATACATTGGCTCAGCAGTGACTCAGAGGAAGATGAGGAGGTTGATGCTGAAACAGAAAATAAGACTCTTGGTTCTCAACCGCCTTTTGCGTCTGCTCTTCAAGCTCTCTATGGCTCTGATTCTGAATCAGACTCTCCTCTTGCCTTTCAGCCTGATGTAGCATCGTCTAGTGATAGTTCTGATCCTTGATACTTTTGAGAGTCTCGATTGGTAATTTGTTCAGGGAAAGTCTTATGTTCTTGGTCTGAGATGTTCTTCCTTTGAGATCTTATGTGTTGGTTTGAATAATTGTTGAGCTATGTTGAATTTCCTTCAGTCAATAAAGATTCCTGTTTTGGATCATTTCTCAGTTGTTGTTCAATTATTTGTGGAAAGTCGCTTGTTATGTATGCAGGGAAAAGGCAATCGACAATCCTCCAACTTAGGGGGGGATTGTTGAATTAAGCAGGCCAAATCAAGTTGGATATTGTCTACTCTTACCGTTGCTTTCTTGCAGCTCAATTACAGGAACCTCAAAAGGAAACAACAGCCTGTCATTAGGAACTTACCTTCTCTGACTCCAACGGCTAGTCTCTTGGAGAGACTATATATGCCTGAGTAACTGCTGCTGTTTAAGATACTTTTGCAGGAGCTATTGCGGTAAAGGGCTTAGCTCTGGGATTACAAAAGGGATTGGCGAAAGGTTGAGGCACAGGTTCAACTTTCGCCAAGGCAGAAACAGATCGGAGACTGATCTGGGTTTTCATTTCCTTCTTCTTATTACTACATTGATTCTTGTTTTGTGGTTATTTCTGTTCGTGATTTCATAGTTAATAAAAGGCCTCCCAGACCATATTCTGGGACGTGGAAGTAGACCATTGCACTTGGGCGAACCACGTTAAAAATGTCTTGTGTTCGTTAAGCTTCTCTGTTCTTTACTTTTTGCAATTCAAGTGCTCAGCTTGAGGAACTCTGTTCCTTGCTCTGTTTCAGTTGAGTTGTAGCAGAGTCTGGTGACTCGTGCTCGACAGAAAGAAGGCTGGGCTTGAAGCCCATTCCTTTAAACTCAACCAAAGCAGATTTATATTCCCTAAAATTGTTTTACTCGGGCCCGTTCTATTCGGCCCACTTTACCAGAGTACAAAATCGGGAATCATTTTCCCTTCCTTTGACTCTCGAACTGCTCTCTGAAATCGGGTTTTCTTCTTGAACCCTAATTCCCAAATCGATCTCAAACCTTCTCTACATTTTCACTATAGAATTTTTAAATTTCGAGATTCAAAAGGGCCGGAGTTGAAAGAGGACCGGACTCGGGGAAGGGACTTGATCGGTTCAAGGACAAAACCATATCTGATCTGCTCTAATTTTGATTCAATTGCCATGAATCTTCAAATCGTACAAAATCGTATAAATTGTAGATTTTAAAGTTTTTAATCGGAATTTTATGGGATTTCAATGTTCAAAGATTTTATATTAAAATCAGGATCGGAACTCATAGGTAAAAATCATAAAATCGTAAGATTTTAAATTTAAATTCGGGATTTCGACTACATTGCATATAGCAACAAAGGATCCGGCCCAAACCGTCCCCCACCCCCACCCCCCACAAGCGGTTTACCTATAAATTTTGTTTTATGAATGGCTTACAAACCCCCAAACTTAAAAAAAGTAATTGTGTTGGGTTGGATGACTAATGAATGGCTCTAAGTTTTTGCCTCCTCACTCTATGAATTCCTACTCATGCCCCTGGGGCAGAGTGCTAGTAAAATGTGTATCGACTTCTCTAACCTAAGCTCCTATTTATACTAATTACATAAGTGGATTTTTTAGTCTTTTTATGTAAAAGTTGGCCAAAACCTTCCTTGTACGACTTGAACTCGGATTCCTTCGACTTGGGGACAAAGTAACATTGAAAAGGAAGATTTTGGAGTTTGGGCTTCAGTGACGGGTCTAACGTTCATTAATCGCTTTATTGTGCTTGGTTGCCTGGCCCAAAATAAATCACTCCTCCAGATTTGTGCATGATTTAACGTATAAAACTCTGGTGGACTTCATTCAAAGTTGGGCTTGCTTCACTACCATATGTGCTTGTTTTGGCCATAAAGTGAGCTTCTGATGTCCAAATCCATCTTCGTTTGGGCCCGAGCATGTAACTCATTCTCCTTTTGATCCATTGGGCCCTTGATCAAAATTTGTCTCAAGTGCATTGTATCCCTGAAAAAGCACTAAACAACCCCAAAATGCATAAAATTGTATAAAAACACACTCATGGTCTATCATAGGCATAAATTAAATAGCTATAATATTCATATAATATATTGTAAACTCTACTAAATATACATTGATCGAAAAGAAAATTTTATCAAATATGGAAGTGATAAATACTATAAATTGAGAGTCACCACTCCTAAGGACCCTAGACTCCCAAGGTATAACTGTCTTACACTAGGGAGGCATTTAATCTTGTTCATGTATACTCAATGACAAGGGTATTTTAAACTTGAACACATGTTTGGCTGGTATAACCTCAAAGTAGTATACAGACTTACTTTTTCGTGGCCTTGGTACCACTGACGTACCGTGATAGTGTGATACAATCATACAACCCTAATCTAAGTATCACAACCCTAACTAGTTTATGTTGGGAAGAATAGCTTTGAAAAGCTATAAATGAAATTTCTAATTAGTTTATTTTCTCATAATACGAAAATAAGATGGATAATTAATAGAAGGAATATTATGGAGATAATTAAGATTAATTATATTAATAAATTATATTTAATTATGGGAATAATTATCTCCCTAATTAAAATGTGACTTATTACCAAAGAAAGAAGGAATATTCTGGGGTTTCAGCTCCTATAAATAGCAGACCCCCCAGACCCTCTAAACACACCTCAGAAGAGCAGAAACACGAGAGAGAGTGAATTCATAGAGCTCCGGTTTTCGCACAAAACCGATGAGCAATAAAATTAGAATGGATGTTTTATCCTGGAGGCGACCGGCTGATAGTCTGTCGTGCGCAATGAAGGTAGTACCGAACAGATTATCGCATCTGGCTCCAACGAAAGGCAAGAAATTGCCGATGGCCAAACCTATTTCGCTAGCCACAATTATCACCACTGCTGAAATGGCATCGCGAGGGAGAATTGAGCACTTCCCTCCTTTTACTCAATTTGTTTCTTTTTGTTCTTTTATTGTTTATGTTGGTCATGGTGTTTGTGAGAAGAAGAATAGGTACTGGCGGTAATCATGAAGGGACAGGAAGAAACATAAATTAATTCCAAAGCTAAATAGCTTTATTGGTGGCGGAAGAATGAACATGTTGTCCCGGCAAAAGGACGACATAAAGAAGAAATTTAAAAGAAAGGGATCAGAGATATCGAGGCGAGCAGAGAGATCTGAGTCTGCCGCCCTACGCCGGTGGTTGTTCCTTCCGTCCGTAGCTTCTATTCTGCAGAGCGAGGTCCTCAACTGGTCTTCCTCCAGTGATCCACGATATTGGGGCTCGGAGAATCTTCCAACTGCCTTCGTCGTAGAAACAAAATTTGGAGTCTCCGATAATGACAGACATATAAAGGTATATCCGCTGGTGGACTAGGTTATTCCGGGAAGCCCGATACCTAGAGATCCACAGCAAGGAGGCTCGTGATGAATTGTTGCACGGTAGAAAAGGGCGAAAGGCGATATTGGGCCGAGTATTGACAATCCCAATCTGAGGCTTAATGAAAATACAAGTGGCCTGCAGATGAGCGAAATTTTGTTAAATGATGGTGGGCCAAATATTAATCAGATCATGATGTCTCATGAAGGTGGCTGCTGCTTACAAATGAAATTCCTATGAGCTATTCTTCGTGTCTAGCCAGTAAGAGCGGCGTGCTGACAAACCTTTGATCAAGTGGCATGGCTCTTGCTGAAAAAGGAAGCGTACTAACTTCGACCAGCAGTTCGAGGACATGGGAGACGATATACTATTACCGGACAAAGGTAAGTAACTGAAACTTCCTCGTGAGTCATTACTAAATGATAAAGTAGAATCTATTCCATACTTTTCTATGCATGTAATTGAGAAATCTTAAGAAAGCTTGAGAAACGAGAATTGGTGCATGATTATGTCGACATCAAGAAGTGTTATCTCGATGATTAGAGTATGAAACTTAATACATGCGGTGGAATAGAATAATGATGTTTACACGGGTACGTAGAAAGAATATTTATGGGAACAGAATGGGTTACTTGCCCATAGTGACGACAAGAGAAGAAGTATTGTTGTCAATACTAGGTGAACCACTTATGTTGATTTGAAACATTAAAGTTTCAAGAATGAGAGTAGCAAGTCGAACCAAGTTCCACATCAAATTGAAGGTACCCTTCGTGGTAACCACAAAATTGTGTGTCAATTCTCTAAGAATGACACTATGCTTCCTTGTTAAGATTGCGGGAAACTACGTCATATGACACGAAAGTGTAAGAACAAGTATAACCTAGTGTTAACTTGGTTAAAGAAGAGGATTTGGAAGTAATAATCATTAAGGTGATGCCAGAGATTTGCCTTAATGGTAACTCTGAAGAATGGTTGTTGGATAATGGCGCCTCAAGGAAAGTGTGTGATATACGAGCTACGCTCAATCATACATTGAGGCGTGTTGACGAAGAAAGTGTTGTTGGGCACTGCCCTCCCCACTATTATTGTTGGTTATGGGAAAGTGGAAGCGAACCTTACCTCTAGAAAGTCGTTGAGTATGCTAGATGTAAGGACTGATTAAGTAAATAAGGTGAATTCTTCTATTTGTGACACATGTGTCTGTATGAAGAATTATAAATTTGAAGGTCACATTCCCATATTATTCTTGAACACTTAAGATAAATATGAAGTTTGTATCCAACCTAAATGACCTGTAAATACATGATAAGAGAATCAAAACATTGGATATGATTAGTTTTGATATGAGTGTACATTATGAGAAGATTAAGAAATGCTTTATTGATTGTTCTGGTTAATTGTATGTTTAGTTGATGTGATGCTTTTGAAATAATAAATGATAGAATTAAAGAATCAGAGCAATATGATGACTGGTAGAGCATATGAATGTGTTTTAATTGGTTAAACAATATTAAAACACATAAACCTATGAAATGAAATACTCATTATGTTGTGAATCCATGGATGCCAATAGACTTCCATTTAAAATAAAGAGATAGTGGGGGTTGTATCCCACCTACTATTAGAAATAATGGAACTAGTGGGGGTGGTGAATCTGAGTATGAACTCAGAAGAAGCAAATGAACCATAAATCGATAAAGGATTTTGGTTAGGAGTTTGTTAATTACACCCTAAGAAAGATCCTACAAGTCTGCTAGAAGTTTAAACTTCTGTAAAGGTGCAAATTTTTGGGAAAAGAATCCATTATTAATAAAATGGAATCATGAGAGTCTTATAAGACTTAGAAACTTGTAGAGTTACCTTTTGGTGTAAAGCCTTAGGTAATATATCGATGAAATCGAAAAGATTTGGCATCTTTGAGAATTACCTCCTAGCAATGAAGCCTAGGTAATAAACGGATTATTAAAAGGAAAACTGAAACCTGATGGTTTAGTTTATGAGTATAATGACCGCCTAGTAGGTAAGGCATTAGGTGAAGAGGAAAAAATAGATTTGATATCTATTCACCAATATGTAGAACAACATCCATCACATGGATGTTAAAATTCTTTTGTGAATGGTGATTTGAATAAAGAAATCTATATTGGGACAATCTTAAAGGTTTTTATTCTTGAACATGCTTCTGGAGTCTATGGTTAGACTAATCATTATATGATTTGAAATAGACTCATAATTAGTGGCATGAATAATCAGATTCTCTTTCATGGTTTTAAAAGTGAAAGTGACAAGTGCATTTAGTACCAATTTGAAAATGACACTTGCATTATGAATGATACGTCGATCTTTGGTACAAAGACTCGTGATATCAATATTGAAAAACCATGATGGTTGAAAATTTTGAATGTGAAGGATCTGAATGAAACAAATGTTATGCTTAGAGATCCTAATAACTAGGAAAATACAAGATGTACACATGCATACATGTTTGATGATGCTAGTATAAATATTTAAAGAACACCTAAGACGGTGTAAGAAAGTTAGAATATACTAGCATTTACAGTTGCGAGAGGCACCTGATAAACATGAGACCCGATTTAGTGGGGGGTACTTGGAACGCTTACTGATTGTCCTAGTATGAAGCATTAAAATGCTATTGAAATGGGTCATTAGACACCTTAAGAACAGTAGACCTTGATATAAGTTATCAACGGTTTCTGGCTGTATTGGTAGGGTGTATTGATGCATATGAGAATACCCTATAGAAGATTCCAAAGCATCCATTTGACATGTTTAAACATCACTGGAAGAGTTGTGTCTTGGAATTCTAAGAAGTAAATGATCCTGGCTCAATCAACTAAGGAATCATAAATGATAGAACTAGCGATGGCTAGTAAAGAGGAAAGTTGATTGAGAGGGTCATTACTAGAGATTCCCTTATGGGAAGGGCCAATCCCTCCGGTAGTTGATTCATTGTGATAGCACCTCAACTATTACTAAAGAAGGGAACCGGTTCTAGAACGAAAAGAGACGACAAATTCGTCGTAAGCACAGTACTGTAAGAGAACTCCTAACGATAGGAGCAATGAGGGTGGATCATGTGAGATCCTAACAGAATCTAGCTGATCCTTTGACGAAAGGATTGCCTAGAGAAAAAAGTCCAAAATACCACGAAGGGTATGAGACTTATGCCTACCAAACCATGGATTACAAGTGATGGTAACCCGACCCGATAGACTGGAGATCCCAAGAAACGGGTTCAATGGGTAATAACAAGTCATGAGTAATATTGAGAAAAGTTCATGGATAGTGAAGCACGAATCCCAAAGCCTTGGAGGTTGAGTTAAACTCTTAATGAGATCTATACTCTATGTGGAGTGAAGTACTTTAGTTTGGGGTACTTCTGATAGACTCACCTATGTGAATGTGGGAGTCGGGCCGCTCCCTATGGAACTTTGGAGGCACAAAGTTGCTAGAGCGTTCACTAAACCGGGATAACGTGCATGCCCATAAACGCACGGCCTATGAGAGAACATCACTCAATGAAAAGATCCGGTGTGCTACATTGTCTGCAATAGGGTTCAAGACTACGAGTCACCCTTATGAAATCGGAAGTGTAACCACTATGCTAAGGTTCAAATCTTCGTGATACCTTAGCTTATGCCCGATCTTATGGAACTCTTGATGCTCAGAGATAGTTTCAAAACTATTCAAGTGGGAGATTGTTGGGATGAATAGCTTTGAAAAGCTATAAATGAAATTCCTAATTAATTATCCAGTATTTTCCCATAATACAAAAATAAGATGGATAATTAATAAAAGGAATATTATGGAGATAATTAATTTTTGTAGGTTATGACCCTAAGTTCGTTGAGGAGACAAGGTGCTTTTCTTTCAACCTAGAGAGGCACTTGGAAGATACCTGGAACCCCTGCATCAGTCGGTTATATGACAAGCACACACCTTCGATGAGAAGATATCCCTTAATGAAAAAAATACAGTTATTTCACCTCTGAAAGGATAGGCGAACTGAGTGCACACCTCCAGAGGGCATGAGAATAATGCTTTGGTCGAGTAGGAGATTAAGGTCGTACTATAGTTTGAGTTGAACATCAATGATCTTCGAAATGAGGAATGATTTTCATACGGAGATAAATAAGAGCACAATGTATTGATCGCCCGTAACTAACACATGAAAAAAATACGCAAGGGTACCTATCGTTCTAGGACAGTATAGCAGGAAGCAAGGTCGTATCCACAGAGACTATTGTCTACAAATATTTTCCTTTTACTTCGCCATTATCAAATAAAAAGTATTTTCCTTTTACCTATTATTTAGTCAATCGTTTTTAGTATAAAAAAAATTAGATATAAAAGCATATGCAATAACGAAAACACAATAGGATAGTTTTTAAATTAAAATCAAGGGGAGAAGGCGTTGTTCGGGAAGTGAATCCCCCAATATGCATTTTACAGACAAGTTGAATTTAACATAGACGAGTGTTCATATCTTAGACCGTGAAAGTTTCCAATTTAGTGTTCACTCGTTCGCACGTGTATTAACACCCTTCCTACTTAAGAATCAAGTGAAACTGTGGCTTACAAGACTCTTAAACCAAAGCATTAACCAGACTTATGAATTTTCGTATTAGGTTTTTAAGCTAATCAAGAGGAACTACGTGACCCCATCGTCGGTGGCTCCGATCAATTCCTTCTTTTCACGAGAGATCTAAAAATAAAAATTACCTCGCAGACTCATTTACATGTATCAGAAAAAATATACGATAGATGCATACCAATGATACTTCCACATGATAAGTCGAGAAATGGTCGTAAGAACGAGAACAACACGTCTATATCAAAGATAACACTAAATCCATATAAAACATATTGGGTTCATCAAATTTGGAACAACTAGAAGATTAACCAGACATGATGATATTAAGAAAGATGAAGGTTGAGAACATTACTATAACGAAAAAGACGACGAAGAGCGGAGG